AAACATTTCATAAGTGCCACTGCTCCAATTGTGTGTTTGCTGGAAGTTACTGAGTGTTTAGAAAGCCTCCCTCGATGCCCAGCTGCACTGTGAGAAGGATGTGAGAGTTTTGGAGCTGGTTTTTGCCCACGGAGGCCTGAAAGAAGTTGGAAAACAAGTTTTCTTGGGTTACAGTTTAACTCTGTTATTAGGCAGCTGCCTCTGGCTGCTGGGAATTTACTACACCAGGAGCAGCAGGGTGATTGCAGTGGAGGGGGCAGGAGCTGTGCATTTCACAGACAAATTAGGAGAGCACTGTGGCAGTTTCTCCTGAGCTCCCCTGCAGTTATTAACCAGTTATTTTGCCACACTTCCCCCCCCAACTCAGCCATGTGGAAATGTCACTGTACAGTTAATTATTAATGATGCTCAGGCCTGGAACAGCCTGTGCTGCTCCAGGTTGTCACAGTGTGCCAAGTGGGTCGTGCTGCTGAGTTTGCCTAGCCCCAGAAGGCTGCAGGTGTAATTTTGAGAGGTAGAGAGCATTGTTACGCCTAGGTGAACATTAGCAAGGTGTAAACCAGAGGTGCATCTGCCTGGTTCCCCGCTCAGTTTCTGTACAGAGAAGTTTGGTTGTGGGGGGAAAAACTGAAGTGCCTCCTGTCCGCTGACATTACTTTGTGAAAATCCGCTTGTTAATTTATTTAAAGGAATAAACAACGAATTTACTTAGTTGAAATATATTTGCTTTGTTACTTTGTTCATACTTTTTTCAGAAGCCCAGAATTCACAGCCTTAACTTTGGTCAGAGGTCTCATGTTTTGTATAGCTTTATGTTTAACGAGCCAGATTTTCCCAGCTCTCTCTGCTTCAAACCGAGAGGACTGGTTCCTCTGAAGGAAGCCTTTCTAGAGGTGCTAACAGAACCCAAAACTCCTTTCTTGTGCACATTCCCTGCACTATTCCCCAGCAGTGAGGTGGGATCTCTCCAGTTGGAGAATACAAGCTGCAGAACTCCAGAGCCAGATTCAGCTGGTGTGTGCCACTGCCTGTGCTGAAGTGGTTACACTTACTTTGCACTGAATGAAGGAGAAGAGGACTTTAAAAATAAGTGTGGAGCAATGGACTACATGGACTAAAACTGAAAGTCAAGTGGGGAGTTAGTCCAGGGCTGCCTGTGGTACTGTCACCTGGAAATTGCACTTTTCAGACCTTCTGATGCTTTGGTTTGCATCCTGGGGGGGTCTTGTAGTGCACAATTTGGTTTTTATTTTAAATTAAATTTCACTGGGAGGTGTGCACCAGCTCCTTATGTGTGTTCAGGCTCGAGTAACCTCCCTGAAATGAGCACAGATGATTTTTTTTCTTTCTTTCAGCACTGTTTGTTTGGCTCTACAGATCCCTCTCTTTTTCTGCAGCTGGGCTGCTTAATGTAAGTGCAGTCTGACCAGCTTCAGTTTGTATGAGGAAGCAGGAACAGTCTCATTAACAAGTATGCAGAAGGATGTATGAACTCAGTGAAATGTTTTGTGGCAGGGGAAAAGAAAGATCCACTCTCTGCTAGGTGAAAATGTGCTGTGTATTTTTTTCTTTTGCTGGGAGTCCTGGTTTAAAAAAAAAAAGGCAACAAAAAAACCTGCAACACAGTAAGTCTATTCATTCAGGTGCAGCTATCCATAGGATTGTATTGTAATCCAAATACCTCAAAATAGTTTAAAAAAAAGCTTCTGAACCCCACAAACAAATCAACCCAGTAAGAAAAACAGAACCAAAAACCCAAACCATCCTCAACTACAAAAAAATCCACAACCCCAAGCCAACGGAAACCCCTTAAAACACAGCAGTGCTGTTACAGTAAAGGGTGTTGTGGTATTTTCCCTTTCTCTTCAAGGTTTGTTGAGCAGCTTTGCTGTCTGTGGGGGTTTGTTTTCATCTGTTTGGGGGGAAGTCAGTTCTGTTTATCAACTTAGCTTCTCAAAGGCCTCCAGCAGCTGCTTGTATTGGATAGCTCCGTGCTGTTCTGATGGATTTCATTGCATATAGGTTGGGTAGAGCGTGTTTATGTCTGAAATGTCTTCTGAACACTGTGAGTGTGAGGCAGAAGTCTTTAAGCAGTGTCAGGTGTAGGATGCTGCAGGGTTTTGTGTGCCTGTTTCACAGGATTCACTGCTTATGTGAAGATACTGTAGCTTCTCCAAATGACATTGGCATCTAGAAGTGTGTGCTTAGAAAAAGATAACCAAAATGATGGGAGTCATGAAGAAGTGTTTAGGGGAAGGTAAAAAATATGATGATTGTACAAGTCTGTTTTTGTTTGTGTGGAGTAAAATTTTATTTTATTAGTTCAGTCTGTGACAATTGTATCAAAGGCTGTTCCAGTTCAGTCTGTAATGATTGTATCAAACGCTGTTCCAGGGTATGTTATTTGTTCCATTTAATGGTCAATTTTCTTTTTTTAGTCTTTTTTTTTTTTTTTTTTGTTTTGAGTTGGTAAAAATGTTCTTGTAATAACTCAGTAAATACTTCTTATCTGTGAACAGAGCTGTTAGTGTGGTTGGAGTTCAGGGTCATGGAGTTAGTCCTGTAAGAAACACACTAACCCCAAAGGATGATAGTCTAGTTTTTCTTATCCAGCTGAAATTAGTATTGAAGAGAAAGCTGAGGTTGTGTTCCTCCAGACCTTCTGGACTGGTTTGAGCAGCAAGAGCTCTAGAAAATTTACACATTTTTACATGCCAGTGGTCCTCACAGGCTCAGGTGGGGATTTGAGTGAACCTCTGGTTCTCCTCATGCTGGACTGTCCCGTCTTCCAAAACCATCCTTAATTTCAGTGTAGCTTTTTCAAAGTACTTATCATCATCATCAGGTGCCCTCAGCTTTGGTGACCTGCTTCCACAGGAAAACGCCTTCTCCAGAAGTTCAGTGGAGCGGGATTTTTGCTGTTAGGTAGATCCAGGGCAGACTGACCTGCTGGGGCTGCTGCAGCTTGGCCAGGTTGTCACCTGTGGGCCAGGTGTCCTCAGTCCCTGCTGCCTGCAGGTGCATGGGACCTGTTCCTGCCCAGCATTTGGGTTTGTCTGTCAGGAAAGTGATTCTGGTCATCTGAACCCCCCTGTCAGCAAACTGGGATAACACACTAGTGTGTCCCTGAGAGGTTTCTTTGCTTTGAAGTGTAAATGGTTTTTGAGTTTGAATATCTTGTTTCAAGCACGTGTGTGTCAAAAAGTAAGGGGATTGTGATGAACAAGCAGGCAGAGTATTTTGTGGTGGGAACCTCTGAAAGGTTTTAAGAAGGAAACCCCCAAGGGTTGTTTTGATATTTTAGCGTCTTTGGTAGATGTGATATTTGAGTCTTGTCAGAACTGAAGGAGTAGTAAGGTGCTGATAGAAGGTTGGGCTTGGCCTGAGCTGTGCAGGTGCCACTGGAAGCTCCAGAGGGGCTTGCATGTATGTGTTTTCTGGGGCAGGCAGTGAGCTCTGAATTTTGGATATCTAAATAATGTGATCAGGATAAGTGATTTATTTAAATATAATTATGATAGATCTCCTAGTCAACAGTAATGCTTATGCACCTTGTAATGGGGCACATTATTTAAGTGAAAAGTCAAGAGCTTGAGGAATTTTTTCCTGTGTTTTGAGGTTAATAGTTAGTGTTAAATCCTCCTGGTGTGGAGCAGGAGGCCAGTGGCAGTCCCATCAAAAGCCCAGCTGTTTCCTGGCTGTCTCCAGCTTTCTACATCGTCTGGCTCTGAGAAAACAGCTTTGGGAAGGAGAAGGCTTTGAAGTTTTCTCCTGCAGCTGGGACAAAACCCATTAGAGGATTCTAAACTGAGGTGTTGGTATGATTATTTTAATTGCTCTTAAGATATCTAAATGTTCATTTGCATAAATCAAATCACAGCTTCAGAATAATTATGCTGTGCTTTTGGTTAGTTTTCATTTGATCAGAGTCACTGCAATGTCTAGCTCAAGTTTTATGTGACTCATCTGCAATTTAAATACCTATTACCAGAATTTTCATGTACTTGGTACGATTAAGTGATCTAATTAAGGTATTATTGTATTGAATTTGTCTCTGGGAGCTGATCAGACTGGTATAAACCATAACTTCCCTGACACCTTGTAGTTCCTCTGGGGTCCATCTAGAGCCTTTTCCTTAGTATTTAGCTTAACTACAAGACAGTTTAAGGCTGGTGTTTGACAGGTCTGGAAGGGGACACTGGGTCAGTGTGTAGAGGACACCTGGAAGGTAAATTCAGTGTCTCTAGCCCCATGACGCTGTCACTGATACAGGAATTTCTGCAGCGGGGTGGAGCAGAGCTCAAGGAAAGCACTTGCCTTTGGTGACTGGATTAGGTTACTGTACATGTAAGTTACTGGAACCTTGTCGTTGTTTATGTGTACATACCTATGCCCCCTGAGCTATTTTGGGCCCCATCACATGGCTTGATCACTTTCATTTTCATCCCAGTGAAATTCTTTGGTCTGTGGCCGTTGTGACATTTGTCTGTTCTCAGAAGGTTGCTGGTGTTTACAGTGAATAGGCTGGATTCCTTGTGGAACAAGTAGCATTGACTCACAATTATCAACTCCTGAATTATTTTTTGCCGTCGTTGTTAGACATCCGAATTGGTTTTCCAGTTGTGTTACTGAGCACTGTGCTACTTTTGTGTGTAGAAGTGGTGGGAGGTTTTAAATGAAAGTTGAATTTAACAGCACAAAGGTAGGACCCCTGTTTGAAAAATGCCATGCAGCGCTGTGCTGCAGCCTGTCTCAGTCCTGTGCAACCAGCTCAAGCACTTAACTGCAGGAACCTGCTGCTGCTAAAGTCCTCCTGTGGGCACTGGCAAAGCGTGAGGGCCTTGTTCTGCCAGAAGAAACTAAATATAAAACAACTTTAGACCGGCTCATTTGGAGAACATAATTGTGTCCTGATTTTTCTTTTAGAAGTAGCAGCTGCTGGAAAGCTTGGGAATGCGCACAATTTTCACTTGTTTTTTTCTTTTCCTCTCCCCCTGTAGGTATGGCCTCACAAGTCTTGGTCTATCCACCATATGTTTATCAAACCCAGTCAAGTGCCTTTTGTAGTGTGAAGAAACTCAAACTAGAACCAAGCAGTTGCGTGTACCACGAAAGAACCTACCCGCAAATCTATGTGAATGGTAAAAACTTTGGAATTTCTCCCCACAGGGTTAGTACTTTCTTTCAGACTAAAAACCCATTTGATAGACCTCGAGGACAGAGCTTTTGGTTGCAGTCAAATGCCGTTGCTTTAAAAAATACTGCAGGTGCTACAAAAGCAGCGTTGGCAGCGTGGGCGCAGCAGCCGCAGCCGGAGGCGGCCGGGACGCAGGGAAGCCGCGGGGATCTCCTGGAGGGAGCCCAGCGATGCGGGCTGAAGCGTAAGAGCGAGGAGCTGGAGAACCAGAGCAGCGCGATGCAGATCGTTGACGAGCTGTCCATCCTGCCCGCCATGCTGCAGAGCGGCGTGGCCAACCCGGTGACGGTGGTGGCCACAGCCGCCGCCTCCAAGCAGGGCGGCACCGGCGGCGACGGGGATTACCAGCTGGTGCAGCACGAGGTGCTGTGCTCCGTGAAAAACACCTACGAGGTTCTCGACTTCCTGGGACGAGGGACCTTTGGGCAAGTGGTCAAGTGCTGGAAAAGGGGGACGAACGAGATCGTGGCGATCAAAATCCTGAAGAATCATCCTTCGTACGTGCGCCAAGGGCAGATAGAAGTGAGCATCTTAGCGAGGCTGAGCACTGAGAATGCTGATGAGTTTAACTTTGTGAGAGCCTACGAATGCTTTCAGCATCGTAACCACACCTGCCTGGTTTTTGAGATGTTGGAACAGAACTTGTATGACTTCCTGAAACAAAACAAATTCAGCCCTCTGCAACTGAAAGTAATAAGGCCTATTCTACAACAGGTGGCCACTGCACTGAAAAAACTCAAAAGTCTGGGTTTAATCCATGCTGACCTCAAACCAGAGAACATTATGTTGGTGGATCCTGTTCGGCAGCCTTACCGGGTCAAAGTCATAGACTTTGGGTCTGCCAGCCATGTATCAAAGACTATTTGTTCAACTTATTTACAATCTCGGTATTACAGGTAGGTGTCTAATACTTTGATGTTTTTACCTGTTATGGAACAAGGTTTTAGCATTTCTTAAAGTCAGTGGCTTAAATAATTGCTCCTCCAGGTAACTAGTAATGGTTTGGAAAAGATAAGACCATCTAGGAATGTGAGAGTTCTGTAGTTGGTTGCCATTTTGAATGTGAATACTTGCTTTGAATATTTTTATAGTCTTGTCCTTTTCCTGGAAGTATGTTTTGTGTTGTTCTCTGAAGCCATCACTTACTGCTATTTTGAGACCTCTGAGACTGTTGGAAAGGAAAAGAAAAAAAATTATCTTTCACTTGCTTGTTTAGGATGTCTTTCCAGCCTTCCCAACATGATGGATTTTTTTTCCTGTAAGCAGCTGGACAGTGTCCTAGAAGTGCCATGTTTCTATATCCTGTTGCCAAAGATTATGTAAATGCCTCTGTTTTTCTCCAGCACTTGTAAATATTTTCCCTAGTTCTTAGAAACTCCATTCTGTCTGAGTGCCTTCAGCAGCTGTGGAGTTCAGTAAACTTCTGGAGTTAGGGAGTGATAGGATGCTTAAACGTTTAGGGTGATACCAGAAGGGTGTTCAAAGGGATTTTGGTATATCATTGCATTTTACTTCTGCCTGAAAGTGGGTGTGTGTTTTCAATACTTTGGTTATTTTTTTAAAGCTTTCTTTGAATAGTTACCCAATCTGCATGGCATTTAAAAATTACCAATATTTAGTCCTTTTGTTTTCCTTATGAGCTAAACTTGTCTTGATTGAAGATCTTTCAGTTCTGCTTTGCATCACTGGCAGTAGTATGTGCTGTGTATTGCCCATCTGCTGATTGAGTAAGAAGCTAGTAAACTAGGACAATGAGTACTTGGAAGAAAATTTTAAATATTTTACAGCTATTCATGCTGGAAAGGAAAACTTGTGCACTGCAATTCTAGGCTTGATGAAATTAGTGATTGGAGTTCATGCCAGAGGAATCTATTTTTTGACTGTAGCTTGTAAACAAGAACGCTTCATGTACAGTGCTCACATAAAATATTCTAATTCATCACCTGCACTCTCTATTACTTAATTGCAAACTGCAGCAGAGGATTTAAAAACTTCATGAAGTTCATCAACAGAAAACTAAATTGGGAAATGTTATGGATTGATGCATGTTTACATTATACAAAAATATATGTGAGAGGGAATGAAAAGTTAAGTAAGTTGGGAGTTCATTTTGGTGTAAAAGCTGTGATAAATTTTTGTGTAAAATCAAAAGATACTCTGGTTTTGGGCCTCTCAGGACAAATCAGGCCAGGTTTGCAAGGATGGCAGAAGTTCTGAGAGGCTCTGGACAAGTGCAAAGGTCTCACCTTGAGCTGCTCTGTGCAGAATCAGCATCCAGCAGATACTCAGGGTCTGAGAATGTTTCCCTACCTATTTTGGCTTTTTTATTTATTGAAGCAATTACAGATTAGTGTGAGCTATTGCCATTTTTCCCTCCTTTCTGCCCAAGAACAGAGGGGAGACTCTGGACAGCCAGGCTGGGTGGTCCTATTGCAGTACTTCAGCCTCAACTAACTCCTTTCAGCATTTTTTTTTTCTGGTTCAGATGCCTCAATAGGCAAGATATTGTTGTTTTTTTTAGTTCCCTGCATAAAAATGCAGTAGCTGTAGTTGTGTTTTACTTGGCTTGGTGTTGCTTTGCAGCTCTCAGTAGAATTCTGGCACACTTAAGGGTTTGGGCAGGTCCATTGCTGGCAGGATCAACGTGCAACTCCTTGGCATTTTGGATGCTTGCATTACACTCAAATGTGACTTTCTGGAGTTCCCTGTGGGTATTTATTCAAATATATCATCCCCCAAGAATAAGATAAGGTTTGTGTGTGCATATACTTGTCTTGCCTCAATGCTGTTGAATGATATGGGCTCATATGGTGTGTGCACCTAAAATTTCCTAATTATTAAGTTATGCTTAAGTGCTTTGTAAATATTCAGGTTTCAGTAGTTTATATTCTTTGTTTTGTATAGTTTTATAATTCTTCTATAAAGTAGCATATAAGTCAGAAATGTTTGAAAATAAAAAGAAGAAAAATGGTTAGGGTCCATTTACTTGAATTTTTTTTTTTAATATCTAAATATTGATTGAGATAATTTTGAAAAAACAAACCACTAAACAACTATACTTCAAAATTACTTTCAACAGAAGTTTCTACTTCTGAACAGGTTTTCAACATGCTGGATTTCATCATGGATGTGTAGTTCTCTACCAGTCGTGTGATTCAAACTAACTTTGTGTAGACTGGCAGTTCCTCAAAATTTGTTTTTGTTCCATTGGAAGCACCAGACTAGTGCAAATAATAGCAGAAAATAGGAATTTGATAAAAAAATCTTTTAAAAGCTTTTAAAATAGATGAAACTGGGGAAATTTGAATTGAAAAGTCTTACAGAAGAATTTGAAGGGCCTTCAGAGAATATCTTGTTTTGAGATGTCATTTGTTTTAAGAGAGGTTGTGCTTTTGGTCAATCAAATAAGGAGCAGTTATATATAAAATATAACTGTACTTAAATGCTTTTTGTATTAGAAGAGCCTGGGAGTGATAGTGCAGGTTTGACCTGTTTGACTGTGACTTGTCAAAACAAGTTTTACAAAACTGAGTAAAGAGAAAAGGTTGTTTGTTGGTGGTGCTTTTTGGTTTTATTTTGGTTTTTTTCTCCCCTGATCTGATCATTACTTGTGTTTTTTTTGTTCCTGGGATCAGAGTGAACTAATGATCATGAGAATGGAGGATGCCCCAATGTCCAGGATTAAATAAATAATCCTATTTTGTTTATGTACAGCCTATATAAATAAAATAGGCTGTTTATTTTGAATTCTAGTGTCACTATTTTGCATCTGTAAGAGGAAGTGAGTAATGAGTTGGAAAAATGAGTAATAAGAGGATTAGGACTTAAAGAGGGGAACATCATGTAGCCAGGTGAATGGATAATGGGCTGGCTTACCTTGCCTATAGCAGCAGGAGAGGTGACCTAATGATAATTGGAAATATTAGGGTACTTTTGTATGAGGAGAGGTCCTAAACACGTGAGACTAACTGGATTTTAAAAGGATATAAGCAAGCAGAAAAATGGACGCAGACTGTATGGAGTGATAATGACTTGATGTTTTCCTGTTTCTGTTTCAGCTTTGACAAGCAAAGAGAAAATAAGAAAATGGTTAAAAGAAGTATGAAAAATAGATTTGACATTTTGTTACCTTTTGGAAGCTCCTGTTGTATTGCTAGAAATTGTTGAGTATGGATATGAATAAATACTAGCTACAATTCGCTGTCTGAAGTCAGAGATGATTTTTTATTTGCTTTAAAGATCAGATGTTATTCTCAATGCTCTTTCCCTGAAAGGCAGTGTCTGTGCTTACATGCTCTTTTTACGCTGGTCTGGATTTTAATAGCTGTGGACTAGAGAGATCTGGTATTTGAAGCCCTTTTCTGCTTCTGGCCTCACACATTAAGACTGCTGACCTTTTATGAGTGATCTAAGGAGGTAAATAACTAAGCAGTGTGTACATTTTCAAAAGAAAATACCCTTACATGCAGCGTAGGTGATGAAGCTTTTGTCATTTATGGAAATGGTATGAGCAGTGTGTTGCTCTCCTTTTGGTCAACTGTGCCCCAAATCATGAGAAGGAGAGTGTTGCATCCCAAATGGAAAGCAGTGCAGGCTGTGGAGGAGGAGGAGAATCAAAGCAGCTGTTTCTAAGTCTGGTCTCTTGTGCTCATCTGGCAAGGCAGAAAGTTCTCCCAGGGCATGGTGTTTCCCATCTGCGTCAGGAAGCCAGGTTACTTTCCTTCTTTCCTTTCTGTTGCCATGGGAAGCAGTGGCCCTCTCAGTGTATGGCACTCAGGGGGAACTCTTCAGGGAATTACTGCTCAGTTTTTTTTCCAAGGGGAATCACCTTCGTATTGATTTAATTTGGGTTCCCTTCCTGAGGGGATTTGAAAATTGAGTCTTCAGTAAACCTTACCAAACTCATCATTCATCAAATCCCTGTAACACTGTGGATCTGACAGTAGCCATTGAGTGTGCTACATCATTGCAGGATCCTGCAGCACAGCCCCCAAAAGGAGTTCAACAGTGGCTCAGCACCAGCCCCTGTGGCTGCCTCCATGGTTATTTCACCTCCTGTCTCCAAGGAAAACATCATCACCTTTGTGCTGTGTCAGATTATATTGCTGGTAGAGTGCAGCTGGAAGCTTGACTGAAAATGTGTTTTGAGGATAAATGATGCCTTATGCAGGCTGCCCTAGAGCAGAGGCTGGGCAGAGCTACAGAATAAAGCAGGGATTGATTCAAAGCATCTCCTCCATGGATCCACCTTGGGCAGCACCAGAGCCCAGCCAGGGCTGCACCCAAGATGAACCAAAATGGCCCCAAAATGCACGAGCGCTCCCGGGCTCTCTCCCTGGGATCAGTTCTGCTCCATTTGCACCTTGCAGTTCATTGTCCCATTCCAGCTTTAGCCCAGGCAGTCCCACCCTGCTTGTTTTTCTCTCTGCAGCCCACGGTGTTTGTGCTCTGGGGCTGAGATTGGGATCATTTGTCCTTGGTGCCCAGCTGGAGCAGGAATTGTTTTGTCTCCCTGCTCTGTGCACAGAGCTCACCATCCCTGAATGTGAAGCCCAGACCCACCCACTAAAGCAGCACAGAATGTGAAAAATATAAAAGCTGAAACCTGAGGCATCATAATCCCTTGGTTTCCCATCCAAAGGGTGTTCCTTTAGGCATCCAGGGATCTGCAGGCAAACTGTTGTTTAGCATAGCCAGATTCATTGGGAAAACAAAGCGAGTGGGAAGCAATATAAATGATGTCCAGATTAAACTGGGCACCAGCTGGACCCCATGGGCTGCTGGGCAGCTGCAGTGGTGTGGCAGAATGGAAGGTGTCTGGTTAGTAAGAGATGCTCGTAGCTCAGAAATGTTTTTCTGTTCCGCTGGTGACAGCAGTAAAATACGATCCTGGGTA